CATCATCTTCTTCCTCACCTTCTTCCAGCAGAGGGAGGTGAGTGTTAACAGTTCACACACACAGGTCTTATTTCCTTACCCTGCAGTGGGCATGAGAACACACAAGGGGCGCAGGAGATGACACCACAAGGGGGGCAGGAGATGACACCACAAGGGGGGCAGGAGATGACACCACAAGGGGGGCAGGAGATGACACCACAAGGGGGGCAGGACATGACACCACAAGGGGGGCAGGACATGACACCACAAGGGGGGCAGGACATGACACCACAAGGGGGGCAAGACATCACACCACAAGGGGGGCAAGACATCACACCACAAGGGGGGCAAGACATCACACCACAAGGGGGGCAAGAACAAGCCTCACCAGCTTGAGCAAGTCTCACCTCCCAGAGAAGGTGCCAGAGGAGGGACTGGCCCCACTTTGCTGGCACCAGCAACATCACCACACAGAAGGGGAAAACGAGTTGTTCCCCAGCAAGAAAACCAAGAGGAGAAAATCCTCACCTTCCCCATTCTCATATTCATCTTCCAAACCTTCTCCATCTGCTTCAGGGTCTGAGTCAGGGGCTTCCTCATCATCAGCATCAAACCCATCCAGGTAGGTGAGCTGGGGCAGGAGGGTGAACACGCTCTCCCGGTACTTGATGAGCATGGTCACCTCACAGTTGAAGAGGTCCAGGCTATGCAGGTTTGGCAACTTTTTCTGCAAAGATCAATTTGTTCAGGTTATTTCCAAGCTGACAGTGTCTGAAGACCAGGCAGCCATCAGAGGGCAGCTGGTTGGCCACCCAGATCTAGCACAGAAGTGTCTTTGCATGCATTATTCGCACCACGTGCTCCTCAGATGGACAGAAGTTACTGAACAACTGTAGGCAAAGAAGATCTTTCTTTTCAGCTCCTGTTTTCCCTCCTTGGAACCAGCTCCCTGTAAAGCCATTTCTCTTACCCCCTTTCTCAACAGGGTGGGCAAGAAGCAGAGATCCCAGCTATCCCAGAGAGAGGAACCACTGAGCCAGATCCATCCTGACCAAACCCTGAGGCAAAATCCCCAGGAGCAGGACACAGGGAGACCTGCAGCCCGTGCCCAGGTCAAGTGAAGGAGCAGTAAAACAGTTTCAGGCTCTTTCTGGAGGGATCAAAGGCAACAGCTACTGAGGCAAAGGCCCCAGCTCAGACCTTCAGAGAACCACAGAATGGTTTGGGTTGGAACCTTAACAGCTCCTGGGTCAGGATCACAAGGCAAGAGTCTTCTTTGGGGTAGTTCAGATGCAAGGGGACCCCCCCTGCTGTGACAGCACCCAGGGCCAGAGGGTCCCAGCCCAGCAGAGCCTTTGGACCAAGGTGATTTGACACCCTTGCTAGTGTCCAAGCAACTCATGTCCATGACACCCCAGGTGCCACCTACCTCAAACAGCATCCGACCCATTAATGGTCCTTTCTCAGATGGACACTGAGCACTGCATCCACAGTTTTACTCATCCAGCCCAATTTCATGCTTCTTTTAGCAACTGGCTGCTGGTTTTCCAGACAGAAGAGCCATTAACTATTAGCCCAGCCTCAAATTGGACCCACTCATCTGTTCCCATCAGAACCACGAAGTGCTGTTGGAACAGTTACCAAGACGTTGGACTTCTGCTACACAGACACACTCCCCAAAGGAAACAAGGTGATCCCTTAAGATTCCAGCAAAGTCCTCCACTCACCAAGGGCTCCAGGGTATTGATGTCTTTAATCTTGTTGCCACTTAGATTCAAGTGTGTCAGGTTAGGAGTTCTCTCTGCTAGAACTTCAAGGCCACCAGAAATCCTGTTATCACTCAGCTCCAGCTGCAAGGAGAGGACAGGACATGGTCACAAAGTCAAGACCTGGGGAATAAAATTGCTCTGAGAACCAGATTACAAAGAGCCCCCAAGTTTCAGATCCTGTTTCCTGGACCACACCACAGAGCAGCAGTTCAAGTTTTCACTTCAAACTCCTTTCCCACACTAACACAACATTCCCCAACAGAGGGGTACGTGCTCTAAAATCCAAAATATTGATGGTGCTTCTGAAGCTTCTGACAGCAGCACAACAGCAAAAGCAGCAGAGAAGGGATGCTCAACACATATTGAGCTCCAAAGCATCTTGTTGCATACTAAAAAAACACCTCCCTCACGTGCTCAGGCTGCAGCAGGATGAGTAAAATGAAATGTTTCTCTGGTAAATGCTGGAAAAACAATTGTCACCAAGGACAGGGCAGCAGAAGTCACAGAATATGTTGAGTTGGGTCAGGAGCATCAAGTCCAACACCTGTCTCAGAGCACCAAGTGCTGGAGGTAGGACCACAGGCCTGACTCACCTTCCGGAGCTTGTTGAGCTTGGGGAGGTTGGAGACAGACGTCAGGTTGATGTTGATCATGCTGAGGAACTCCAGGTTCTCAAAATCTGAGGAGAGCCCAATGATCTCCCCATCGTCCGAGCGGCAGTTGTCCAGGACCAGCTCCTTCACCTGCCAACAGAGACCAGCAGCACTCAGCAACCCAGCCAGCTCTCACCTCAGGTGCCACCAGGTACAGGGACCCTCTGAGGCAGCACGTGTGTTCCAAGGTGCTCCTCACCCACATCAAGGCACAAGATCTTAAAGCCAAGTAACTTCGGTGACGGCACCAGGGGAAAACCTGGGATTTCACCCCCTAAAGGATGAGCTGTGCAACCACTGCACCACCCCACACCCTGTGGGTCCAACCAAGGTCCCACCATCTCCACGAAGAAGTTAAGGGGTCAAACCACAAGTTGCATCAAAACATTTCATGCACAAGGTCTCATAAAGCTTCCAGAGAATCACACTTCAGGCTTCACTAGCAAGAGACCAGACAAGTCATTGGGGTTTTTTTTCCCCCCCTCCTTAATGTTCTCCCCCACATCACTGGGGTGCTGGAAAACCAGAGGGTCCCTTTCCATGTGACAGTCCCCACCCACAGGTGACACACCTGCCTGGGCAGGTCTCAAAGCAGATGAGCTCAACCTCACAGGGCAGCAGCACTAAATGGTGCCTGATGCTCTGCCCAGCACAACCCATCACCAGCTGATAAATTCAGCCCCAAAATCCCCCCCTTTGGCATCAGGACCACAAAGCACCTGCACAGAACTGTCACCCCCCAAAAAAACCTGGAGGGTAAGGATACCTGACACCCCCCTCTCTCCAGAGCACAGGCTCAAGTCCCAGCTCTCACCAAACCACTTCCAAAACTTGCTGTTACCCCACACATGCCTCAAATCAGCCCTGGCATGGCAGCTCATGATGTTCTCCAAGTTCCTCCTGTGCAGCACTCCCATCTCACCCCCCTTGCTCAGATCAGCCAACTATTAGGGAGTCACTCACACACCACTTTGTCCTTCTGGCAGCAGAGTTTCAGGGCTGCTGTGCCCTCTTTGTGAAAGAATTCATGTTTGAAACTCCACAAGTGGCATCGCTGCCCAGGGCTCTGCTAACAGGCTCAGCCAGGAGCTCTGTAACTCAGCTCATTTTGTCCCCACCACCCCAGACAAGCCCTCAACTCAACCAAGACTCTGAAGGGTGCAGAGGTGGCCAAAGCCAGCCCATCACCTCTTATTGCACAGCAAAGAGGCTGGATGTTTTCAGGTTACAGACCAACGTGCCTGAGCTCAGCTCTATCCTGGTCCTGCCCCTGCCCTGAGTCATAGAGAAAATCATGGAAGGGTTTGGGTGTGAAGGGACCTTAAAG